CCAAGCGTGCATGTGAGTGTGATGTATGTGTGAATATAGGTACATTTGTATGTGTAAGGTGATAGTGAAGGTTTGTCAAGATTATTGTGGTAAAAAATAATATAAATTTATATTACTTCTTCTTAGCAGAGTCGTAGAATCTGAAAGCTTTGCTTAATGAAAATAAGACTTTCATAAGCAAGGTTATAGACTTCCTGAAAAGAAAAAAAATGCTTTATTTGGTAGGTTATTGTATTTGACATATCCTGATCTATTGGGCAATGTGGTAGATATATACCTTAGTAACTGTAGTTAATTTCATACTCTAAAAGTATGAGGTTTTAAGGGATGGTTTAGTCTATGGATTTCCAGACTTTTGGGTCTTAGAATTTTCCTCTGAGACATCCTGTGCAAAATAAATCTAGGCTCTTGGCACACCGACTTGTCCAACATTTCCCCACATCTTCGTTTAATAACCCCCATCCCATGCTCCTTATCCTCTCCATCACCTACACACACAGACTGATGCAGTGGTGCAGAGGATTGCAAACTCTATCCTGACTCATGGGGACTTGGGGCTTCTATCCAATGTTGTGTAACAATTTACTTGATTAGATCACTAGAGCTGTTGCTTTTATTAGATTTTGGGAAAAATCATGTAGATGAAGGGTCATTTTAGTAGCATCTTCTCTAAAGCTTAGGAAAGGTGACAATTATATGAAAAGAACATTTCATATCTCCATTTAAAATGAACAGAATTGCTGTCATTACCTTGCACATGGCTTTTTAACTGCCAATCCCTAAATCTGAATACAGATAACTTGATGTGAGGTATGGTCGTTTACATGCACATAAAATATATGAACGCCATAGTTGATGGTAGTAGGAAAGAGAAATTCTAGGTGATGGTAGGAAAATTACTTGAAGGTAGGTAACAGTGACATAGTTTGGTGACAATGCAAATCACAAGATTTTAGGATGAGTGTTGGGCTTTTCCAACTATACCTTAATGTTTCAGTCTGTGGAACCCCCTCACCATGTCCCACTGTCCCACTACTTGCTCTCTCCACGGGGTTCAGTGACAGCAGTGGCCATACTGGCCTGGCAGAGCTGCTCTTGACATTAAAGTAGTTCATTTAATAAGTGTAATTATCATATGTGATTTTTCCTCTATGAGAAGTTTCTTGGGTTGCACATTCTTACTGAGCCTGACTTTGTAAGCAGTTCCGTTTGACCTATGTTTTACTTCACTGGCCAGGGTGAAGCACAGACTGTTTAGGTACTCACATAAATGAAAACTTAAAGGACCCACCTGGATGAATACAAGGGAAGTTAACTGAATTGTTTGAATGTCAAGTTGGATGAAATTGGAAAGGAATTTAATATTGCTAATTATATTTTCTCAAAAGAATACACGTCTTTTTTAAAATTTGCTTTTGGGTTTTACAGAGTTAGGAAATGGGATCACTGTTACCCATTCTTTCCATGAGGAGCATAACCAGACTTGCTGCTTATCCAAATTCCATGACCGGATCCCAATGCAAAATTCCCCCAGTGCCTGCTGCTCCTGTGTTAGGCAGTTTCTCACTCAGGTTGCCAGGAAGATTGAGTTCAGCCCCCTGACTCCACCCATGGGGAAGTGAACTCAGTCTAAGGTAGCCTAGAAAGGGTGAAGTGAGGGGTTTTTGGTGGGTGGGCAAGGACTCATTGTGGAGAGATAAGAAGGTGATAGCAGTGGATCAATATACCCTTGAAAGATCTAAAGTCTTTACAATCTGAGCTGGTTGTTGTTACCTGAAGAGTTGTTTTAATTTTGCATACATGTATGTGTGTATACTATATATTGTGGACAAAAGTACAAGTTTTTCAGAACTAGTAAAAGTTAATAAAAATGGGATCAATGCAAGGTTTGTGCTTTATGGTAATCTATATACAGTGGGGCCTTGATTACGAGTTTAATTTGTTCCGTGACGGAGCTTGTAACTCAAATTACTCGTATGTCAAATCAAAAAGTGAACGAGTGAGACACGTGATGCTGGGCTGATGTGGCATTCACTGTGACGTTCGCTGCGCCAGCTAGCGGTGGGGTATCTGAAGCTGGCTCGTAACCTGAATTTTAACCCGCAATTCAAAGCAAAATATCGGCCGAGAGACGGCTCGTATCTTGAAAAACTTGTTAGTCGGGACACTCGTAAGTCAAGGCCTCACTGTATATAAAAGCCTAAGTGACCATCACAACGGAACAGACAACTCAATGGGCTCCATGGGGCGACCAGGCTGGCAGGGGGGTTAGTGAGGGACAAACAAACGACTAAGCAGCAAGCTGCAAAGATGGTGGCACCCACAGCCAATAAGGAGGGAATATGCTAATTAACTACCACACCCTCAAAGATGGCAGTGCCCACAGCCAATAAGGAGAGAATATGCTAATTGACTGCCACGCCCTCAAAGATGGCGACACCCACAGCCACAAGATGGCCGGCAGGGAGGGCAGTTAGGGGCAACCAGGCAGGCAGGGGAGGGCAGTTGGGGGTGACCGGGCCAGCAGGGGAGCAGTTAGGTGTCGATCAGGCTGGCAGGCAGAATCGGTTAGGGGGAATCAGGCAGGCAGGCAGGCGAGTGGTTGGGAGCCAACAGTCCCAGATTGTGAGAGGGATGTCCGACTGCCGGTTTAGGTTCGGGCCTAAACTGGCAGTTGGACATACCCCGAGGGGTCCCAGATTGGAGAGAGTGCAGGCTGGACTGAGGGACAACCCCCCCCCCCCCCCCAGTGCACGATTTTCATGTACCGGGCCTCTAGTATTTTATAATGATCCAGAAATAACTTACAGGTTATGATGAGAAAGTTAATTGCCTCACAGTCCTAGTGAACAGAGAATATTCAGGTGAGACAGTCATGGAAGGAAAACAGCACGCACATGCCTACGATAGCTGTGCTCTCACATTGAAATTAAACAAAAAGACTTAGATATAGAAAGTTCAGGACAAGCAGTTGTCAATGTACAGTGGCCCATATGGTTACAGCTTACATGTGAGGGACCCTCGCAGTGACCCTGCCATGGGAGTGTCCCTTTCATCCTCATCGGCGAGGAAATACGGTCCCAGAACCCCCTGTTGGTATTCAGAAGCTATTTTCTGTTAAGTACATGGTTCTACAGCATGGTTTAGCCTCCTAGTCAGCCTGCGAACCCAGTCACCCTGTTGAACATTGTTTCTATTTTTAAAAAAAATGCAATTTAAGCTTCAAAAACTGACTTTTAGGAGAAGCACAGAGGTTGCCTGTATGTCATGCTGAAGTGGGATTTTATATCTCCATTTAAAAGTGTATTGGATTGTAGTTATGGCCTTGGACATGACTGTTTACCTGACATTCCCTGCATTTGAATAAAGGAATGTAGATGTGGGCATTATAGTCATTTACATGCATAGCGCTAGTTGGCTTGATCTTTACTCTACCTTCATTTTAATTGAGAAGACATTAGTTTAACATTTCTTTTGAGTTCCAGTAACACATATCTAACTAGTAGTCCTTCACGATCATTTTACAAGGTCAAGCAGTCCCTGTTTTCCCCCACCTGACTCACTGGAAGTGTGGTTCCTAATTTAGTTACCTTCAAGGACTGTGATCATGGATAGTAGATGCACATCCTGTGCTCTGGAGCAAACTCAGGGACAGATGCATTATGGGAGAGGTCCCTCTTGATCTCATCTCTATTTCTGGGGCAGCTCAGCAATGCATGCTTTCAAGAATATTGATTCAAAGGAGGGTTGTAAGGTGGTGGGTGGTAGGGAAGAAAAGGAAGTAGCACTGTTGCAAATAGTGTTTGTTGCAATGAATTACCTGCTAGGACAATGAACCATGTGCTTAGGCCATTAAAGATGTTTTAATGAAAACTTTCAAAAAGAAAAGGAAAATTTTCTTTAAAGATTTTCATATGTGATAGTTCAAAAAAAAGCATCAGAGTGGTCATCTTGGGGAAAATAAGAACTTTGCAGGATCAACTTTGGACTTTGGTGTTGCTTTTATTTTGAATTACCTAGAGGCGAGGAGGAATATACTGTAATCCCTTTGGTGCTTAGGGCTGTACGGGCATCCAGCTGCCCCGAGTGAGTGGGCAGGGGAACGAGAGCTCCTGGGGACTCCTCGGTCTCCAGTTTTGCATGATGCCTCGGTGGCAGCAGCATTGCACCCGCCCAGTGCGCAGATTAAATGCATGAGCCTCCTTGCTTGATGCCCCACATGAAACCAGACCATGGGGAGGTTGCAACCAACTCTTGTTGCCTTGTACAAGTGTCTTGCCGGTTTTTTCTTTTCTCTTTTGAAACATCAGAACCACTTTTTAGGAGACTGGACACTGTGAGCGAGGCATTTTAATGTTGCTTTCAACTAAGCTATTCTGCTGCATTTGCTTAACTAACCTGAGCCTGTGTCCATTCTCCTCAGAGTGTAGCATCTCCCTGTGCACTCTGATCTTCAACTTTCTAGACATGAGAAATGCTTGTTCCACAGTGTGGTAAGAACTCACACAGCCAAGGCAGCACAATCACTGAGTAGAACAAGGCGTTTTGCCATCTTGGCAAAGGCTGATCGGCTGATACTGAACTCGCAGGTCTGGAAGGAATTAGCTACAAGACCTTCAGAGTTCTAATAGCCCCCGAAATGGAAGAGCCCTCCATATAATTATTTTGATCCAGCTACAATTACCTATGTCAGTTACTTCTGAAATAAGAGACAAATTGGGCTCCTGAGACTTCCAGTGATTTCAAATGAACAACTTGAAGCTTCTTTTGATCTTCACAAATGAATGTATTCCAGTGGAGATGTTGTCAAGACATTCAAAAGTATAAGAGGTTCTGTGTTTCAATTTCGAGTTATTTTGGAAAATCTGCCTCAGTGTGAGTTGATTACTTTGCTCTGGAACTAGTGTTCTCATTATCATCACCCTCCTCTTATCATGATCTGACTAATATTGTGGATTTCCCCCCCTCCGCTTGCATCTTCTTTTGACGCACCCGGGAAGAAATGTCAAGAAGAGGAGGTTCGATCCTAGTCAGCAAGGCCCCATCTGAATCAGCTGCGGCGGATGAACGGTGCCTCGCACTGTTGGATTCTGGATGTGGCGCGCTTTCAGCAATGTTGCCGGAACTGTTAAGTCTGTAAACAAGAACACTGGGTGGTCATGACTGTAGAACTCAAGTTGGGGTGACCAGGATGAGGTCAAAGAAAACTGTCCTTTTTGGAAATCATTTCAAAGAACTCCTCCCACCACCTGTCAATAAAAGGGGGAGCAAAAGACAATGTTCTAAAAAGAACTGTTTCAGAATCTCCTTTTTTTTTTTTCTAAAGGAAGAAGGAACAACAACAAAAATTAAGTGCAATAAATGAACCATTAAAGATAGCAAATGATTTTGTTTTTCTTCCTCAGCCTGCTGGCACTTAATATCTTCTAAATGATCTGGCATGATTTCTTTTCTCTTTTCCTACCAATGACACACTCCAGTGGCATGAAGATCTAATTTTCGAAAGGGTAAAATCTGCATGGCATATCTACAACAAGCAGCTAGCAAGCCAACCCGCAGCCAAACCTGCAACTGAATTCCTAAGGTGGACATGACAGGTGAACATGAGGAGGCTGCCTGGCCCCGCCCCCTAGTCTAGACCAGGCCACCAACTCTCTGCGCTCCTTGATTCATTCTTTCATTCAGTTTCTCTTGGACCAGGCAGCCATGGGACATGGGAGCTGGGACTTGAGAGTGGATACTATTGTAAAGTTCTTTTATAAATGTAAATATGGAAATAAGAGATTTTGACACATCCTGTTCACTTGTCTGTATTGAAATATTTTTCTTGTAAAGGTTCTCTGTGAATTTGAGTTCATTGTTTGCTCCCCATCTTTTTGGTTCCTCTTCTCCATTTCTTTGTCTCTGCCCTTCTCTCTTGTAACATGTTGTACAGTGATTGTTGGGCTTGCTTAAAAAATAACAGATGTGGCCACAGATGCAAGGAGTTTGGGCACAAAACAGGTACAATTTAAGAATGAAATGTTTGAATCAAACAAATGCTTTGAAACCAAAAATCAAAGATGAGGGGAACACACAACAACAAAATAACCCACATTAAAAACCCAAAAATTATGTAAATGCAAATACATGTACTGGTAAGTCTCTAAAATATTTTTGTTGTCATTATAAACATATGTATATAATGTAAGAAAGTAGACACCCTTTCAAATTAATCACTGAAGTGCCAAGCTCGTGATGTTAGTGTTTGGTTTTGACAATTTTTTCCCCCGTCTTTAATGTGAAAGGAGGATAAACTTAAAGCCTTAAATTAAAAAAAAAAATAATTTTTCAATGTTGAAAGCTTGGGAAAAAGGTAAGCTTTCCATTTTATCCATATCTATTACTACCAATATTTCATTCATGCCTCATCCTCCGGCCTCAAAATATATATGGTAGAACCCCACTGTAACACTGGTGATGAGACAGAAACATCAGTCACCTTCCTGTGAGCGCTGCTGGAATAGCCTTTACTTCTGTGTGTTGTGTTTTCAACAAGCCTTGTTGGGCCCCGGTGTGCTGCCGGTCTGTGAATAGCTGTGCTGGCTCACAGCAGGGTTCTGCTATACATACAGATTCGCCTTCTTTTCCCTTCAGGAAGATTTGCAGATGTAATCTGGATTCCCAAGTCCCTCTGAGTTTAGTTCACTTTCACTGAGGTTCCTTCTTCCATAAATAAGCTCATGATCGCTTCCGATCAAGTGTTATATACATTAACAGAGAAACTTGGTCCCAGCTTTGCTTTGAATGTAAAACGTGTACAAGATCCATTCAGTGAGTGTCCATCTAGAGATGAGCTTTCCTGGAGGCTCCAACATGCCCATACTTCTCTAGCAACCTCCTTTTAGGAACAGGACATCAGTTATACTATTCCCTTCATGACAACCACGTCCGTGAGCTTTAAGTCCCTTTTTAGCACGTTTCATGACACTAGTCTCACAACCTTGGCTTTGACTTTGGAAAGGATTATGTCCTCAAAATGTGCTCTTAAAACAGTGTAGTTTTTCATATATATATATATATATATATATATATATATATATATATATATAATTTTCTTTCTTTCCCCCTTTTTTTTCTCTCCCGTTCCCCTCTTCCTCTCCACCCTCTTTCCCATATATTTTTAATCCTGGAGGTAGCACAGTCCTAGAGCAGAAACTTTACTTTCTATCTGCTACAATAGACCGTAACCTAACATCTTCCTCCTGCTGTTGCTTTCTGAGTACTAGGTGCTACACAGGTACGCAGTCTTTTTCTAGAGCTAGCTGTGGGTGTCTATTGTGCGAACAGGGTTCTTTCTCTACAAGGTAGACCAGCCTTCTTCTTGGCTTTTTAAGACACAGGTTGTACATATCCCTTCCCTAGTGGCAATGGCTCCTTCACCTCCAAGGAACCCAGATTACTCGGCATCTCTTCCTGTCGCTGCGTTATTTCTCTGTTGCTGGATCCTACTCACTCGCGGATTCTCAGCCACTGCTGAGTTTACCATGTACATTTCACTGCTCTTCCAGAGGCACCACGTGACTTAATAGAAACACAACCATGGTGGTTACAAAACAAGTTAAACCTTTATCATTAACTTTTGAGCATTTCACAAACAACATTGTAAACGTGCGATGTTATGTTTTAAATCAGACCACAGTGGTCCCCAAATATTATGTACATATGGCAAATGTCTGTGTAACTTTTTGTTACACTGGCAGTTTCATAGGTAACTAAACCTATGCTCCAATGTTAAATTAATTGTGTGTATATGTAAAATACACAAGCTTTAAGCTGTGTGTGTGTATGAATATGAAAGATTATGCAACCATACCAGTCGTCAACAATGGATTCTAGTTATTTTCGGTGGTCTTAGGTTATGTAGTTTCCAACTCTGCTGTATTTTCTCTTGCACATGCTGTTAATTTGCTGATTTTTGTGGTGTGAAGAATCCTTGTTATTCAGTTGAGCTCAAAGCACAAGCATTATCACCGTTTAATGTTACCCAACAAGAGTTAGTGTTAAGTAATCACAAGTTCCCATCTCACCCGCTATATGTTTGCTGCATTAATGAACAACACATGGATGAGGAAATGTAGGCTAACTTCATTGCTCACCTAGGATACTGCATGAGCCCACTAACTTAGAGCTACTCCTATTAGATAAATGAGCAGTACACATAGGTGCACGCTATGAAACATGAATCACATAGAGTTGCAGAGTTTTACCAAGTGGTATGTGTGTTTTTGTTTTTCTTTTTTGTTTCCCCTGTACTATGCAAGATGGGAAATGCACAAACCTTTCAAAGCCTAGTGTCTGAAGAACTTTACAAACAATACTTGAACCCTTTCTTTAAAATCATCCCAGTGTATTTTATAATCGTTCCTTCTGTTGTTGATTTTCATTTTTAAATGGCTTGTAATTTTTTAAGTACACAACCTGAAGTTAATAAATTCATTCATAATCTTGTAGGCTGCCTATGAATGGAGATTCAGTACTCATTGTATGCATCTTTTAGTCAAATCTGTATTAAAACTTTTGTTAACATAAACGTTGCGGCTTTGTACTTCGATCATTTATCATAACCCCCTTTCCTGTGTTCGCTTGTATTGTTGAATAAATGGCCGTGTGCCAGATGTCATCAAGAGTTTTAGCACAGGTCTTTCTTAAATGCTCCCTGAACATTTAAGCAATCAATGGAGCAAAATAAAATAAATCTGTGAGTAGTGATAACTATAATCCTGATTAAGATTCAGTTTCATTGGGTTTATTGGAAATGCTTTGCATCTCATAAATCAGAAAGAACAGCTTAGAATCAGACCGTGATCAGTTTTGTTTTTGTTTTTTTTAATCCTCATCTGAGGATATTTTCCCACTGATTTTTAGAGAGAGTGAAAGAAAGAGGGAAAGACAGAAATATCAATGTGAGCAAAACACATTGATTAGTTACCTCCTGCATGAGCCCCTACCAACACCAGGGCTGGGGAGGAGCTTGCAACTGAATCGAACCTGGGATGCTTCCGTCCTTAGGCCTATGCTCTATCCACTGATCCAAACTGGCGAGGGCCAATTTTGTTCTTCAGTGCTGCTCTTCTGTGTTTAAAGGGGGTGGCTAGTAATAACATTCACACTTTTGACCCGGTACCAAAATTACAATCAAGCTGTAAAGAAAATACAAAGTGTTTGTTATTCAAACTGTGTTATCAAAAACTTTGTAAAAACATTGTAATAAGGGTATTTCCTTGCACATCATATGGAATTGTTCATCAAATGACATTTCTTCATGAATGTCTTTCAGAACTTCTCCTTTTCATCCTCTATATTAAATATAAAATATAGATATCTTATATATCCACTGCCCTGACATCTTGCTTCTCTGATGAAAGTTTGAAGGGGCTTTCCATTTCCTATAGGATAAAGTCCAAAACTAATAAGGTGACAAACTTCTGCCTACCTTTTATGACTTCCACCTTGTTTATTTAGCCTTCATTGGCTCTTATTCTCTCTCTTATTCTTATTCACCCTACTTAAAGTTCCCTCAAAGAGTCTCTTCTAGCCAGGTCTGAATAATCTTATGTAAATTTTATGACCACTCACCATAATTCATTTGTTTCTATGTCAGTTCATATAATAAAAAATATAGAAACACTTAAAATGATATGAATATTATACTTTAAATCAGAAAGCATATTACGTTTGATTTGAAAACAACCTCTTTTGATAGGTTTTCCTTGAAGTCATTCTGTTTTTGAGGTTGACCTGGAAATGACTTTTACTCCATGACCTCTTGGTAACTGATGAGAAAGGTGACCCAGAAACCAGAACTCCTTTAATAGCGGTGCCGGGAGCCGGTCCATGCTTGCTGTTTCAAGGGACCTGGCATATATGGCATACTGACCCGGCTATGATGATCACCTGAACGCTGCCTCTGTGTCATTCCTTCTTCGCCAACTCCGTCCACACCTATGGGGAACCCCTGGACCTGCTGGGGTTGGACCCCGGCATAGCGGGACAGCAGCCCTAGAGTTTAAACTTTGGTGTGAATAATTAGATGATCCATGTGCTCACAATGGAAATATTTTTTTTAATTTTTTAATATATTTTATTGAGTTTTTACAGAGAGGAGAGAGAGAGTTAGAAACATCGATGAGAGAGAAACATCGACCAGCCGCCTCCTGCACACCTCCTACTGGGGATGTGCCCGCAACCAAGGTACATGCCCTTGACCAGAATCGAACCTGGGACCTTTCAGTCCGCAGGCCGACGCTCTATCCACTGAGCCAAACCGGTTTCGGCTCACAATGGAAATCTTAACTAACTTTTGAAATTTAAGATAGACACCCATTAGGGACTGCTATTCATTAACTTATTAATTCAACCAATATTTATTAAGCCTGTATGTCAGGAACTCCTCCTAGAAATTACAGGAACAAAAGACAATTGTTGGCCTAAAGTTGCTCACAATTTAGCTGGGAGATACAAATGATAAAGATGATAAATGAAATTGTAAATGGAGTAAAAACTTATGAGGGGCAGGTGGGAGAGGGATGAGGAAGGCTTCCTGAAAGCAGTGATTTTGAACAGTGTTGGAAGATGACAAGAGTTCACAAATCTAGTAAAGTGGACAGAAAGCAATGTGTGCCAAGCCAGGAAGAGGAGCTCAGAGCCTTGGTGTAAGTAATGCTAAGTGTCTGATCCATCTGGCCTGTGTTTCCTTCCATCCTTCTTCCTACACTCCCTCCTTTCCTCATCTATAGAAATCCTTTCCTACTGGGCCAGG